AAATATAAGCAACAGCGGCGGATAACAGTAGGCATTCGTTTGAACGTACCAGTATGACTCAGAAAAATCGGTGGGATTTAATGCTTAACTGTGGATTGAGAGACAGTAAACTCAAAAAATTAAATTAAGTCCCAAGCTTGGCAGAAGGCAAGTGTATTTGTCCCTTAGATTTTATAAAGTTCAAGGACATCATTTTATTGATAAACGGTGGCTGTCATAATGGAAAGTACGAGAACGTTTGCTGACATATATCTATACCAGGTCCTTTATTATCATGCTTAGTGAGATGTTAGGAGAACGATTTGATCTCAAGGTCTCTTTAGATGGCTAAGATCACGAAGAGCTGATTAGAAATCAAAAAACCTATGCCAGATATAATTCGAAATTAAGTTTAGTTACCAGGGCTAAACAACGGAACTATAGGGAGTTTTCAAAACCGTTTACGTAGGGGGAGGGGATTTAGAGTTCAGAAAGACCTCTGATTTCTTTTAAAACTGAGTGAGTGTACGGAAATATTTTTTGGCGAAATTTGAAATTCGCTTACTTAATTAGCTACAAACGATACGATAAGTAGAACAATATGCCGATTTTTTTTGAAAAATGTCAATACTTTTCGAAGACATTGTAGGCTTCGTTAAACCACTCTATATATATGAAGCATATAGTGACTGTGTCATGTCACTTTCGCAAGATTGCCGACATATGTCATTTTACAGAAGGTTTGTATATTAATAAAAAATGTAACCTTCCATGACCTTTTAAGATATCAGACTCCTGAAGAACGCCAGGATAACCTTGAAATCAAAATATATATGTTTCAATGTCCAAGCTTCATCAATTTGACAGTGAAATGAAATGAAAGTATCAAGATCATGTTAATGACTTTGCAACGAACTTATTTGACAGCTTTTTTATCAGGGATGAAGTTTGTGAAATAATTAAATACCTAAGGCTGATTAGAGGCTTTCTGTTAACGGGCTTATGTATCTAGTTGCAGCGAATCCCTTATGTCATCAAGTTGGGATCTAGGTACATTATAAAGTAAAAGAGAAACTGTCATGAGTTTTCAAGAAAGTATCACTTTTCCATCGGGGGACTCCTTAGGATTTGTATGGACCACCTTATCTGGTAATGAATTTCGGGACGTACTTACTTACTTGCTTTCGCCTGTTACTCCCAATGGAGCATAGGCCGCCGACCAGCATTTTCCAACCCACTTTGTTCTGGCTCTTCCTTTCCAGTTCTATCCTATTTTTGTTCATTTTTCTCACATCTGTCTCCATTTCTCGCCGTAATATGTTCTTTGGTCTTCTTCTTTTCCTTTGGCCTTGGGAATTTCAAGTGAGGACTTGCCTTGTGACGCAGTTGGGTGCTTTCCTCAATGTGTGTCCTATCCACTTCCAGTGTTTCTTCCTGATTTCTTCCTCGACTGGGATCTGGTTTGTTCTCTCGTATAGTAGGTTGTTGCTGATAGTGTCTGGCCAACGAATCCGAAGTATTTTGCGTAGACAGCTGTTAAGGAACATTTGTATCTTTTGGATGTGATGGCTTTCGTAGTTCTCCAAGTTTTCGCCATATACAGTGGAACTGTCTTGACATTTGTATTGAAAATCCTGACCTTGGTGTTGGCTGACAGTTACTTTGAGTTCCAGATGTTCTTCAGTTGTAGATATGCTGCACTTGCTTTGCCGATCTGCGTCTTCACATCAGCATCAGATCCACCCTGTTCATCAATTATGCTGCCCAAATATGTAAAGGTTAGACGGTATACCGTTTACATCAGGACTAGGATTAAGTAGGTACTTTAGAGCATGTTTAAGAGTACTTATTATAGTATAAGGGTAAAAAGTCATCCCTGAGTAAAGATTCAACGATCTAAGACTTTATCCAGTCAGAAATCACTTCAAACTTTGCTTTCGCACCAGAGATGACGTTGTTTTGAGATAAAAATACTAGTATATCGTGAATAAAATTGTCGGTATGAAGTGTAACGCAAGGAACAAATAGCTGCCACTTTGCTACATACACTACTAAATCAAATGTCATCAACAGATAAAAATGTCCAAACGGCGTCGATTTGCACTCTTAAGTTCAATTACGACAATATATATATATATATATATATATTCCTCTTATTATAGGCTATTATTCATCTTAAAGGTTACTGTTATATGACGTACTATTCTCCAATTATTCTCAATCTATTAGTTACAGTACTTGACTATAACAGCCTCTTTTGTCTTGATCGCTTCGGAGCATATTTAACATGATTGGCTGACATAATTTATCACGGTGCAAGCAATTTTGACTAGAAAGAGCAAAGATTTGCTTAACAAAACCCAGAATTATTAATAATTCAGCCTTTTAAATCGATTTTAAAGTCGAATTCTACTAGTACAGCCAAGTTTTACATAAATAAAAACGGGATTGTAGACAACATTGATACTATTTGTGAGTAACTTGGTCACCATTTCTCGCAATGCGGCAATACCGAAACCAACACATTTATCAATACTCTTCCAGTGTTGACGTATAAGCATCCATTCACATTTGATTTTACATCAATCAGGCCATAAGTATCTTGAAAAAGTTCTATGACAATGGGCCTTAATGGCATTTATGTCTCGTTCGCAAAGCACAGTAGTGAAGAATCTCCGCTGTCCTGTTTAAAACTGTGCAGCCTGGCCATGGGCTATGGATCCTATCCCGTTAACTTGATATCTGTGCTATCAGGAACTACGGGTAAAGTATCCACAAACAGCTATTACCATTTTTGCTTTCAGCAAGCTTGATAAGCCCTTCTCAACATAGGTTTATGAATAAACGACCATACTCCATTTCCCACCTGGAAAGTCAATCAATAAATGGTAATTCTATACTTCGATTATAGTAAGGCTTTTGCCAGTGTCTCACATAGCGTTTTAAAACTTTCATCATTTGGCACGTGTGACTCCTCTAAAAATGCTACAAGTATTCGGAGTTTGACGTCTTTATATGTAACACATTTATAGTCTAAGTATACTGACCAAGTTAAGTCAAAAGGTAGGAATCAAGGTGTCCGAATATAAATTTGAAAGGCTATCGATATGTTGAGTGTTTGGTCTAATCTGGCTAACAGCTGTAAGAGATACGTAGCACGGCGTACCCGTTCTTGATCTGTTGCGGATGCCTGACCTAGGGGCCTTAGCTAAATGTGTTCAGTAAAACTAATAAGGTCGGCACAAACATCACAGGTACGTGACTATTTTGTTTCGGGAATTTATTTACCGCTTCGAGCTTTCTTTCTGGATCATATCCTTTCAATAGATCCTAGACAAAACGTTCTCCTTGGGTCTTGTTACACAGCTTATACATGTAACCAGTATGGTCATTCAAAGAAATGTGATTAACCCTTTACTATTAATAAGTAACGTGTGCTTACCCTTTCAACACAGTAAACCTTCCCTTTTTGCCGATGATCTATAAGGGTTTACTCATTCTCGTCTCTTACCAAAGAGAGCCATACTTTGGCGGTAATATAAGAAAACATAAACAAGTTATGCAAGTGGGCTGTGTTCAGGTCACCACAAAGTACGTCACAGGTCACTGACGGTGCGAGTACAAGTGTATTAGCAACAATTCAATGGCAATTGCTTGACGTGTTACAAAATTACAATTCTCCAAGCAGCTGTATTCACTACGCATGTGATACGTGCCAGGACGCTTAGAAAGAAGCCACTACCCAGGCATCGCTTTAGATTATTTTGACCAACCCCAGGGGTCTGTTCGCATCTCCAGAATTGTGCAGACCCGCCGCACAAGACCCAAGGAAACGTCACAACCAGACTGAAATGATGGTGACTGTCCCTGCTCACAACAGAGAGCTGTCTCGCCTATGTCCGGGATACCATTTCTGGCACGAAATTTCTCAGCCACCCGCGCAGAGGTGAGCATAACCCCACTGACGCTATTCCAAAGTAAACACTCCACAGCCAGTAACATACTCCTAGAAGTGGCAAACAAGACTTTTACTTGGCGAATAATTACACTAGGCTTCGGTGCATGCAACTGATTCTCATCAAACCTCAGGTGAAATAACCTATTTTAGGAGCTGATTTTCCAAGTTTCTACACATTACTTGTTATTATGAACAAATAAAAATTTATTGATGGAAATATATGACTCCAAGCTAGTGGCCTACTTGCTAGCAGTCCGATCCATAGTATTTACCTATTAACGCAGACGAGTAGTCTATGCAATAATATTTTATGGGGGTATGACAACATTAAGAGACCCGGTTACCAAGCTGATCAGTAAGTGTACAGTCAAAAAGATTACCTCCCGATAAACTAAGTCTCTAGAACAGAGTACAAACACATGATGCAGTTGGGTATCATACGACATTCAAGAAACCCACAGGCCTCTCCATTACATATGGTATCCAAGGAGGATCATGAATAGCATCCGTGCGAGGACTATGGTCGTTCGGATAGTAAGACCACAACAGGTAGATACCTGATTCATCACCTACACGGTTTTTCTTTGGCATCACATGGAAGAAATACTTTTTCTAAGATAAACCACGTGGGAGTATACCACTAAAATTCCGGCGGCACTGGAGAATGTCGAAAAACCGGCCATTAACACACCTTTAAATCTGTTTGATTTCTTGAAGGTGTCATTTGGACTGAGGAGCGCAGCTCAAACATTCGAAGGATTAATGGGCGTGGTCACAAGAGGACTGGACTTTGTATTTTAAGTAACAGGTAATCCATGAAATAAATGAATTCACGTAATTTGCTACCATATTTGTTCTTTTGTTATCAAAGTTTACAATTGGAAAACGTTGTATGAAAGACTCATAATACATTTGTTAGATAATGATTGCGATATTTGAGACCGAGGAAAATGGAAAGACACTTGTGCCTTCTATAGAATCACTGACCACCACTAGTGAGTCACGCTTCCAAAAAGACGTTGCAAATGTATGTGGTAAGACATAAATATTATGATTAAGGTGATTATAAATTAGAAGTGTTTGGACCTTTTTTATGAGAAATGATATTTACAAGGGTAGCTAAGTCATCTAAATTTGATGAGATTTTATTTTGTCGATCAGAAAAATCAGCTTCTAAATCTTGTTTTAATAAATTGATCTCCTTTAGACTGCAATCAATCGCACGATTTGACAAATTGATTAATTTGTTCACCTGCTCCGATGGTATACCAGCGGCTCGTGTGGATTGACTAGAACATTCACTTTCAACCTATAAATTGGAAAATATGAAATCAGGTGAATTAATTAGGACGTAAACATTTTATTTTGCTACACAATGTACTTTTATAGGGGCTTAATACTCAATAGAGATAACATTTAAGACGTGACTTAACTTACGTAGGCCAACTATAGTTAACTTACAGTCATAATCTAGTTTCTCTGGAACACAACATGTAATCTATTCAGGCGTGAACATCACTGAAATAATGGCATCTCTCAAAGCAAGACAATAAAATCTTGGCACAAATTTTACATCTGACAATCAATAGGTACTTCCTTACGGTTAACTTTGGTGTTACACACATAGCCGTTCGATTACACGAAAAAAAAGCTGTAAAGACGTAGGTTATTAAATATCGGTAACCTTTGAATATCATCAGCCTGTAAAAACAAATTTGTGCCGGATTTTGTGTTATTTGATTGGTTGAAAGAAAGTGTTTGTATATGTTCGCTGAGTTATCATTCATATGGGATTTGTGGAGATTAATTTATAATGTAGGTGGTATTTATCATAGATTGACAAAAGTTAGGGGTGATTGAAAACCAAGGAGTGACTAGGCAGTCATTTCATCTTAGTAAGACATTTTCCGACAAAAAACCATGACCGTTATCGCTGCGCCTTATCGAGGATTGGCTAAAGTTGAAAATATGAATTTCAACTCAATTATCTAAATGTAACGGGATTTCTGCGAGACCCCAGTGCCCAAGGGACGAACTCTGGTCAGGTCTCGGATACCCGACAGCTAGAAGTCTCATATTTGGCAAAACAACTGTCTATTGTCTGCCAGATTTTCACGTCATTCCAAATGTGGGTGTAAAATCTTGGTGAAACTATAATTTATGGACGACCTTTGAGCGACGTTAAAGAGACCTTGAGAATGTCCACCTACATACTACGGCTAAATGAGGGTTATAAACCAGCATGAGGAATTAGGATTAATATTTACAGTTGATGGTTAGTATTAGGAATCAGATATAGGGTCTTCATTACGAACTGACATCAGCTATAAATCCAAAACTCTATTTAACCGAATGGATGAGTGAATTTCGCGCCAAACTTCAAGACCTGTTATCATAAAACTGATTGGTTCGTCAATAAATTATAGTCTCGCCAAAATCTTTATTTCGACTGTTAAATATAATTATTTTAAATGACACTATTATATAGTAAAACGCTTTCTCTAGTCGTATAAAAAATTAAGAACTAGAATTATTTTACGTAACGTCCTAACAAACAGAATTACTAAGTCCTAAGAACATTATTTTCAACATATACACAAAATAACGAAAGAAACCTTTCTTCTTCAATATACACAAAATATTGCCTTCTGCTCATTTTGCATGAAACGATTATATACTGAATGCATACAATACCATGAAGAGGTTATTAAACCATACATCACAGTTTTCATATTTATATGGGTGAACAAACAAGAAAGTTAAGACTGAAAATTATTTTCAATCACCAATCAATATGTTTGTGTTTTTTAGGGTGTATTCATGAAAAGTGGTATTTTAATGTTGTCCAAATTGTAATATTTCATTTGATCTATTAACCATTGATATATCTTTTACAATTCATGAAATACAGTTAATTAATTAATTTTCAATACAAATGTCAAGACAGTTCTACTGTATATGGCGAAAACTTGGAGAACTACGAAAGCCATCACATCCAAAAGATACAAATGTTCCTTAACAGCTGTCTACGCAAAATACTTCGGATTCGTTGGCCAGACACTATCAGCAACAACCTACTATGCGAGAGAACAAACCAGATCCCAGTCGAGGAAGAAATCAGGAAGAAACACTGGAAGTGGATAGGACACACATTGAGGAAAGCACCCAACTGCGTCACAAGGCAAGTCCTCACTTGAAATTCCCAAGGCCAAAGGAAAAGAAGAAGACCAAAGAACATATTACGGCGAGAAATGGAGACAGATGTGAGAAAAATGAACAAAAATAGGATAGAACTGGAAAGGAAGGGCCAGAACAAAGTGGGTTGGAAAATGCTGGTCGGCGGCCTATGCTCCATTGGGAGTAACAGGCGTAAGTAAGAAAAGTAAGTAATTGTGTACATGTTACACAGTTCTATATCACAAATGACAATTTAACACGAATTGTAATTCAAATAACGAAAAAGGCCAATTGTATCTGTGAAGAAGAAGGAAGTAGACAACTACGTCACCTTACCACTTTTTCGCTAGCCGATTATTACTTAAATTCCTTTCAATATATGATTTTCAATTAGCGTCTTTCTATTTTACTATAGAACACTATTTAAGCAAATAGAAAAAAACAACTATAAATACTATTGTAAAGTTTCAGTAAATAAAATCGTCAGAAAGAAAGTTTTCTTTATTGATTTGCCTTCTTTTACACATTGTAATTTCTTAGTATTGATGAGTTGTGGTCTTTCACTTGATTTACATAAGGATCATGTGAATTTTCAAGTTTGAATAACATACGTTATTTGACTAAATTTTTTGTGACCTGATTGAGAGTCAGAAACCGAAGAAGTTTTGCGCAGGCCAATAATCAACACTAGAACATATCGCGTAGTTATGCTGTAGTAATTGATGCAATTAGCGTCAGCAGGGAATAGAACAAACGAATGTAACTGAAGAGATTTCTTGAATAACAAATGGAGCATATTGGGAAGAAGCACATGAGCTTTATGAATCCATATCGAAAGAGATTGCCAATGAAATTATCAGTGGGTTAGATATGTGTTCAACCAATTCATTCATTAAAGTTAGACATATAAATGTAGTAACTGAAAATGAGGATATATATATATAACTTTTAAGAATTACATAAAAAACAATGTAGTAGGATGTTTTTTAAATAAATAGTATCTCCAAAATATATCACTGAGATATAAATAAAATACTTACCTTTGGATCTAATTTAGTTCGAAGATATTGAGGTACAGTATCATGATTGAATAGTGAAAGACGTTCTTCTGTAATTTTAGCTAAATTAGTATCCTGTTCCGGATTTAACAACATTGGTGTAAGCACCAGGGTATGTTCATTTGAAAATCGATCAGATTCAAGTATTTTCCGAATTTCACTTAGTTCGGATGCACATAACGCTAGTGTACTAAGATATCTTGGCCAGTCACATTGGTCACCCTAAATTATCAGAGAAAACAAAGGAGATATAGAACATTAAAAGATATTAACATAGTCCCTAAAAGCATCTTAAGCAATGGTTATATATATATATATATATATATATATATCACCCCTAAATACCTTTAAAATCAACCCACGACTATCGATTGCCTTCTCACACTAAGTAATTGAAGAAATTTGATCGATTTTCCATCCAAGTTGCTTTGTAGAGTTTGCATCAGAACCCGTTAGTTTAAAAACAAAGGCTTAATTTAACACTACTGGGTCATAAGAGTGAACTATGATAGGGCATTTGAGATATCGACCTTGGTTTTTAGCCAAAACATCAGGACTAAGCGGGATACACAGGCATGTGTAGTTGATGGGCTACAAGTAGAACAACATGAATTTCATGAATTCGATTCCTAACTAATACTAAACTGTATCAAAAGTGAGGATTATAACTAGTGAAATTGACATGAAATATTTAAACCCGGTAATTTAAATGTAGGACAAATCATTTTATACATTTAAAACGTACTTGAGTTTCCGCTTTGATGACTAAATCCTGAATTTTTTGTTTGAGTTTATGAATTGCAGTATATAAAGTGTTAACATTTTCTAACTGACGTTTTTCAGCAATTTGCATTAGTAAGTAATTCAAATGTCAATAAATTTTTTCCTGTTGTCTAAAAACGTAACTGAGATAAAAGTGATTCCAAGCAGTCAAGATTGCTTCAATATTTGTACTTTCTGAAAAACAACACGAAAGTAAATTAAATTAGTGGAATTTAAGAGAAATGATGCAGTGTCAAAATATATACCTTATGTGATTCAAAATTGGTCTTCAATCACTGGATGTGAAACAAGGAAAAGTAAGATCAAGACTACAACGGATATTAAGCCCATGTAGTTGTACCGTGTCATTAATGAGTATCCAAATAAGCCAATTGGCTTCACTAACCTTTACGGCTGAAAGGGGAACCTCTGTGGATAGACAGCTTAGTAGTTATAGTACTTGACTTTCAATTACTGAGGTCCAGGTTCAAATTTTCTTAAATCTACTTTAGTTTAGGAAGCCAGATAGTACTGTCAGCCCACTCTAAAAATATAAAGAAAAGCCGAACCTGCACTTGGTAATAAACGACTTCTAATCAACTACACTAACACATCTAAAAACGTTTAGGGAGATTGATAGTAGAGAAGTTGTAGCCGAAAACAAGACGCATATATTGAAAAGAAACTGAATAATTGTGATAATTTGATGTAATTATATATGTTTATAAACTGTACTTGAAGTAAAAAATCAAGAGTACATCGTATGGATGAACGTACTAATCAATAACAAATAATTAAGACCATCACATATCTATATAAATTCATGAGCCATAAATATTCTGGATGTTAATATTCCATATGAAGCAATGCCGAATAGCTAGATATAGTGAGAAACCACAATGTCTTAAAATATAATAGAATGACATGGGTAAGGGCTAGCAGTGGAATCCAGGACGCGCGTTTCGTCCTGTTTGGGACTCGTCAGCTGGATGTACCTGCATCTCAGAGTTGATGTTTACTCTGGGACTCGAATTCAGTACCGTTCGCTTCAAACGCCATCGCGTTATTCACTTAGCTACTGAGTCCTGATAGCCACTTGCTTGTGCAATGGGGTGAAGTTTAATTAACTTGGTATTGTTTTACTTGAATCTTCCCATTGATGTTTTAGGACTGAAATTGATCAGTCCTATAACATCAATGGGAAGATTCAAGTAAAACAATACCAAGTGAATTATAATAGAATGACAGTTATATCAAGAAGTAAGAGAACACATGATTACTTTAACATTAGAAAGAGGGGACAGAAAATATTTACTCAATTTGTGACTCATAAAATACTTAATACAAAAGAGAAATTTACCATGTATAATGAAATAGTAACAAGTTAAAAAAGAATTCAAGTATGAAAATTATTTCTTAAAAAAGAAGTAAATAGTTTAAATTAGTACACAATCGAGAATGATTTCATTCCTTTCTGTATGTTCTACTATTTATAAGAAATATAAAAAAGAAACTAAAAATATATTGAAGCCCTCAATTGTTTCAGCAGAAAAAGTACAAATAAGCTTATTTCAGATGTGTAGAGGTAATTTACAATTTTATAGTATGAAGTACATCTCACGATTGCTAATACCGATTATTAACTAATTAGGTAGACAATATGTCATTGTACAGTAAAAAAAATATAATCTGCATACTCGAATTTATGTAGATAACAAATATAAATCACCACGTAATTCATTTAGAACTGTTTCTGAGTTGTTACCGATAGAAGTGTTGGGGAGGAATGATGACTGTTCAACTGGTCTATCCACACCTCTGATTTGGGGAAATAAAGGAAGGAAACGTGGAATTCCTTAAGTGCATCAACAAAATCTTTTATAATCTAAAGGTAAATTTATGAAACGACATTGAGGTGAAAATACGAGTATAATGATATGGCTATTATATTTTGAATTAAAGGTCAAACATATATCTATATCAGAAACAGTAAACCAACAATGGTTTTCATATTAGACCTGAAACGTATATTTCTATGTTTATTTATTTACACACAAACATTAGTGCAAAGGCCCACCAAAATATACATATACGCCACATAAATCATCGGTACAGTTGAAACGTTGGAAGTTCTGAGTTAGATTGGTTGACACATCTGTTTCTAAATGTCATCAGTATGCAAGCCAGTTACTACTTACTTACTTACGCCTGTTACTCCTCGTGAAGGAGCATAAGCCGCTCACCAGCATTCTCCATCCAACCCTGCACTGGGCAATTTTTTCCAGCTCCTTCCAGTTGTTATTCATTCTTTTCATATCTGATTCTATTTCCCAACCTAGTGTGTTCTTTGGCCTTCCTCTTTTCCGCTTAACTTCAGTATTCCAAGTTAGCGCTTGTCTCGTGGTGCAATTTGATGATTTGCGTAATGTATGTCTTATCCATTTCCATCGTCTTTTCCTAATTTCCTCTTCAACTGGAAGCTGGATTGTTCTCTCCCACAAAAGGCTGTTGCTGATGGTATCCGACCAATGGATGTTGAGTATCTTGCGTAGACAGCTATTTATAAATACTTGTACCTTCTTGATGGTGGTTGTTGTAGTTCTCCAAGTTTCAGCTCCGTACAGTAGAACTGCCTTGACGTTCGTACTGAAGATTCCTACTTTGATATTGGTTGAAAGTTTTGAGTTCTATATGTTCTTCAATTGTAGGAATGCGGCCCTTGCTTTGCCAATCCTCGCCTTTACGTCTGCATCTGAACCTCCTTGTTCACCGATGATGCTTCCCAGGTATGTGAAGGATTCTACATCTTCCAGAGTTTTTTACAGATGGGCACGTTGATGAAGTTAATGGATGATAATCCTAAAACGTCAGTGCGCTACATTTTTTCATGTGTCATAACACCTGAAGTTGCCAGTCATTTCACACTACTTAGCACTTCAGAAGCGCAGGTTTTACTGCTGCATACGAAGTAGAATGTTTTTTAAAACTTTAGGTGGATTAACTAGTCGGTTCCTGTCATGTCAATGAAAAAAACATTGCGAAACTGTATGACATCGCGACTCAAGGTTATTTTTACGACATGAGAGATAAAATAGGAGAGCGTCATCGGAGAAAACAAGAACATGTATGTACTAGTCTAAAGCGATTACTATTATCTATTGTTCTATTGGTACAGTCGTCAGTGTTAACGAACATAACTGTAAGTAAAACTTCATATAGATAGTTGCTTAGAAAACAATAGCAGTTATATATTTATGTAATTTTTTGTGCATACTTTAAATTTCAGAATTTACAAGATTATTTTGATTCTCAATAGTCGAACAGGCATAACGAAAAAAAAACCAGTGCAATATTTTTGATGTTCAACCACGTTTCCAATAAACACTTTTTAAACATGCGCTTACTTTCTTGCCTGCATGGGAAACTCTTCGAGTAAGTGTTGAGAAAGCCTGTTTGATTTTAAATGCACTTGTAAATAAGAACATGTGCCTAATTAATAACACATAATCTATTCTTTCATTTGCAGATCTCAAATTACAATAAGACTTGGCAATTATTATTAAAATATATAACGATCGATGCCCTTGCAACTGTCAATTATTCATAATGTTGTGCAATATTACACTTTTCAATAAACTTTAAACACACACTATTTTTAACGTGGATTGCGATTTTTGTGTGGTGCTATGGAAATAAAGGCGAACACATGAGACGTTTTGGGTTATGAAAAAAGTGTTTTAAAAATGGGAGCAAAATTATATAAATCGGGGTGTATTTAGTCGAGAAGTGAACAGTTTAACGTATATTTAGGCGAAAAGTGAACAATTCAGAGACGTTCGAAACACAGAGCGATACACAGAAAAAATCGCCATTATTTCCCCGGACAGGTGAAAAAGCAGACATTTCCGTGCGCTTTCCCATTATTTCCCCCTTATTGGTTGATTGAGCACATGTTAACATGTGCTCAATCAACCAAATTTGCTTGCAGCTCGGGCTTAAACTTTTCGGATTTAGAGTTAAGTGGTTAATAACGTTTGTCCATGACCTAGATAAACGCATGAAACCGTTAAAGTAAACCAGGGAGTGTATTAATAATGACACTAAACTGTTATTCACAAACCAGAAGTTACGTTCAGATTGGAATGTGCGCCAATAACTTGGCAAAGACTAATAAAACGTCAAAAATTTCAGAACAGAAACGGAATTACTGGTTCCTTAGACTCTACATCGAGGTTTTTCTAAACCCTGCTTGATTTTCAGAGACTTTAAAAAGTAAAAAATGTCTTAAATGAAATGAGTGGGCGAGTAATAACTTTTAGAGTAGCTGGTGCATCTTTGTCCTCTGAACTGGATGGTTTGGTCGTGGAGCTTCCGTCGTCCATTGTCACATGTGGAGGTATTCTAACAAATCATTCCTATTTGGAGTTTGTGCTGATGATGTCGCTGAGAAGAACGGTGAGAACTCCAAGACAAAACCATCCAGCTGAGAGAACAAAACTACCAAAACTATCCACCTGAACTAAAAATCTTCTCCACCATCTCCTAGAGCAGTTCACAATACCGTTGGAATTATGGTAAATACTGGGCCCTTTTTGAAGAGAATCAGCAGGTTGTTTGTGTTAGTCTTGTCAATGGTAGTCTCTCAGTTGATCCAACTTTTTTTGAAAGCTTTAAACGCATGTTAAAGTAAAGAATTTTACTTGTTGATGATTCGGTGGGAAATTTGTTTGTAAGCTGACAAGCGATTTGTTCTAGCCTTGTGAACTTCCTTAGAGTGTCCTCTATCTCGGATGACAAGAAAAATGAGGGCATATCAGACACTGAATGTCGCACTCTATTTAAAAGGATTGTGGTATTTTTCTTCGCTGAGTAAATTCTATTGTTTCGATCAGATGGTGGTTGGAGGTAGTCAACAGGAAACCCTGGACCCGGGTTTCTTGCTACTTGGCACTCGTCAGCAAGGTGTACCTGTAATCTTGAGGGAACTGGTGCTCCCTGGCGGATTCGATCTCGTGTCACCCAGCTTCACAGTCAGAGACGTTACCACTGAGCTATCCGAGCCGTGACTAACCTCCTGTAGGACTGAGATGT